TCTCTGGGACGACCAGATACTCCGCTTTTGTACGCCAATAGTCAGTGGCGGAACTCGCCGTCGTCTCCTCCTCGGAGCAGATGGGATATCGCAACCTCCAGCGCCGACAGCTGTACACATCGTTGCAGTGATTAAATTTGATGCGCCACTTTCTCCATGGCAACCAGAGATGCCGAAATGCAGAATCTCGATTCACGGTCTCACAGAAGACCGTCAACTGAAAGTAGACACCCGCCGAGGCCTCAAGCGTCATGCCATCTCGACCCGTCTGGTTGTTCGTCTCGGCCAGCCAGCTCTCTGCCTCCCAGACGTCCGGGTTCCACAGACTCAAGCTGCTCAGACCATGCTCACTCACCAGCCCGGCCAGATCGCCACCGCCCAGCCGGTTAAAGTGAAGGTAGGAGATGGTGAGATGCAGCATCACCGTCTCCGAGGCACCGCCACCATCTGGCCGGACCGAAGGCAAATTTAAATGAGCCCTCATGTGGCCCAACAGGCGGCCCAACAATCCCGGCGCCATCTGATGCACTCGCACCCGCACACGAGCCCGCTTCGCCGCCGAGCTCTCCTCGAGGTCATCTACAGCCTCGGTCTCCTCCTCCGGCCGCAGCACCAGCTTCACCTCTGCGATCCGCATAACATCCTCCCGTCTTAGCCAATTGGCTCGTTCGTAGCGCAGCCAGTACCGACAGGCAACATTGTGCACACCCTCACCACCCACCGTCGGACGCCTCGGTTGACAGTCGAGCAGACTTGTCTCCTTTGGCTCCGCCTGAGGCAGTGCGAAACACACCAGGCCCGGACAGACAGTCTCCACTATTGGAACTGCAACTATGTGGCCCGGTCGACTGAGGGACGTCTGATGCGCTGCGTTTCCAACGCCTCTAACAAAGTCACCCGCCATCATTCGACCTGTGCTCGATTCGTCCACATCCGCCCCTTCCGTCGCTTCCAACAGTTCATTTCTCCTCTTCTTCTCTTCCTCTGTCACTTCATTATCGTCAGTCTGAGTTCCGACGGACCAGTCTGGCCCAAGTGCAGCCCTCTCCAAGGCTTTTCCGCTAGCCCCTTCGCCACGAGGCAGTTCCAGGTGCAACGAACCCGCCGGGTCTGATTGACCAAACCAACTGGTCTCCTTATCCAGGCCTCGATCAGCCGAAAAGTCGTCTTCGGGAATCACCAGTGAGTCTATGAGCGGTGGCAACGGCTCCTCCAACCCGTCGACAGCCTCACTGATATATCCGCCACATCGGCTCGGCCCAACTAAGCAGACTGAGAAGAGGGCAAGAAGAAGAGGAACCATGGCGACCGCCTCTCTTGTGCCCCAGCCACCTCGCCTGTCAATCACATGCGATGGGTAAAACGGCAAGCTAAGATGGCAAAGATGTACAGCAAATTAAATACATCACCCAAACCGTTGGTGACACTGCGTGCAATATAATAGGGAACAATTAAAATTGTAACACATTCGAGTAGCAAGTGAATAGGTCTGTTAGCGGCAAGTTCAGTCGAGTCGACGTAGACGTAGACGATGTGCTTCAACCCGCCATCAGACTGGATTAATCCGACCACTTGTGATCATGACAGAAGGAATGAGCCTCTTCTCTAATTGGTCCCTTACCGACCAATCAAAAGGCCGCAAAGGACTACTGGCTTGTGACTCCGTAGAGTATTCAGACTTTCTCGCAAAAGTTGGCATTTTTTAATGGTTTTTTTTTCTTTCGGCCTACGACGAAAGTTGATACTCTATCTAATCAAGTAATCATTCGTATCCTGATGCCACAGAAAGTCAATTCAGTATAATCTATGTCATTTGTTCAAAGTCAACGACGCCAGACAGCTCAATAGGATAGTTAGCAAAGGTTGAAGATGCACAATTAAGCCAAAAAAGACAGAAAAAATACAAAATAACCAAGATTTAAGTTTGCAAAAATCCTTAGTCCGATAAATAAAGAGAGGTGTGGTTGTCGCCGTTGAAACTATCAGCAGATCATTTAGTATAACTAGTGTTGCCATAGCTTGAAAGGCTAATAGGTGATAGGTTAAATTTCTGAATCCTATAGACTCTTTCTCTCTCTCTCTCGCTCGCTCGCTCGCTCGCTCGCTGTATATATATATATATGCGTTCAGGGCGATTGCACGATGCCTGGATTCCTCTGATAGAGTAGCCCTGATACTTTCCAGCTTTGGACCGTGGACTTAACACATTTCCAAACGCTTCTCCAGCATCGTAGCCGTCATTGTCAGTGAGACTTGCTAGTCTTGGCACGAAGAATTGTCCTATTTGCACTATGTAATAATTGCATTTTTCTATAATATGTATTCCATAGTTTAGTCGGATTTATGAAGACCACGATGGTGGGGCCCGCATCTTGGCCACGGTCACATTTTGTTGTCCAGACTTGGTTTCATCTTGAATTCGCAACTTAGGCATACGATCTTCAGGTCCCTCTAACAAGACGATCAAGTTGGGAAAATGAAGCAAAACTAGTTACGTACAGCAAGAAGAGACATATACAAAACTACAGAAGATTACACCATCTTGGTTCTTATAGATTATAGTTGCTTTAGGAAATTCAATTATCAGTCTTTCCAGCACCTCATGCTTTCTAACGAGATGATACTCCCTGTAAATTTTTCCCATGCAAAAATGGCCAAAACCATATAT